CCCGTTTTCCTATTGTTAAGGAGCACTACGTCGCATCTAAATTTGAATAGCCATAGGAGTGCCTTAGATGATTAGATTTTCTAAGGTCGAACAGGGTTTAAATTAATTAAACGTTTATGTTTTATGTAGCAAGTAATCACTGGACGCTTGAACGTGCAAAAGGTATAATTCCCTGTGTGGCGCCGTGACTCTTGATATTATCGAAAATGCCTTTCCAGCTATACTGTTTAATGACTGAAAAAAAGAACCTCATAAATCCTAATTGTTGAATAATTTCCTACATTGGTCAAACCAGGAAATTTGACATTTCACATTTTCATACTATGTTATATGAGTTTTGGGTGGTTCAAGCTGATAGACGTTTTGTAACAAATGAAAAATAGAGTAAATGAGTATACTACACACTTCAAGTAAAGTATAATTGAAAATCAATTCGGACACTGTCTCCAAAAAAACCATTTTTTTAGGAGAGGAGGTGGCTAGAGAGAAAAACTTTGGAATGAAAAATCTCTATACCATATCTGAAACTTCAAAACCCTAGAATGCTAGTTAAAACGATTATTTTGAAATCGTGAGATGCGGTCTGGTGTGATCTAGGTTTGGAAAAATATTTTCTTTATCGTGCTAACGTTTCGGTCTTTATTGAGATCATCTTCAGGGCCTGGGATTTATAAACATTGTTTAATTATACAAATACATATAAGATGTGAATGTGAATTTATACAATTATGTACACAATATAGAAATTTTAGATTTAATCAAAGTATTTGTACTAACTCAAAGTGTTAGTTGGTTGTGAGTACAAATAATTGGATTGAATCAAAAAAAATTTTAGCATTGTATAAATTCATTTCTTTTTAATCTAAAATTTTCTAGCATTGTATAAACTCATTTTTTTCTCATCCTACATCTATTTGTAAAATTTCAACTCTCAATTTTTATTAATTCCAGGCCCTGAAGATGATTTCAATAAAGATCGAAACGTTGGCACGATAAAGAAAACGTTTTTCTGACATCTACATCACACCCGACCGCATCTCATGATTTCCGAATAATGATGTACACAATATAAAAATTTTAGATTTAATCAAACTATTTGTACTATCTGAAAGTGTGTTTTCTGTGTAGGTGTGTCACGGTTTTTGAAAGGGACCGACAATGGAAAAAAGGGTTAATGGTTGTTCGGGCCTGTTTAGCCTTTCAATATTATTATAAACTCACTAATTTCGTGGTCCGCTTGACCAATTAATATATTACAATTAATTAAGGTTTTTAGTTGAGATAAAAAAGTCAATGGCGCGAACGGGATTCGAACCCACGATCTTCGGCTAAATACGCCGCTACTCTACCACAAGAGCTATTGTAAATCTACTAGGACTCCAACTCCAGTAGTATAGTAGCGGCGTATCTAGCCGAAGATCGTGGGTTCGAATCCCGCTCGTGCCATTGACTTTTTTATCTCAACTAAAAACCTTAATTAATTGTAATTATTATAAGCGGGGATTATTAGGGAAAGGAACGCCAAATTGTTGAAGAATTAGACTATGTAGAAATATTTGATGTGTGGAATGTAATGGTTGTTTTATTATGTTATATTATATGTTTTGTGTGATGTGATGATGATACATGTATGTTATCGATATTGAATTTGATTAATGATATTAGGGTAGCTGCGTCTGAGTTTACAGTGTCTGTTCTGTAATTGATGCTGTGTTTATACTTGTTGACGTAAATCATTTCTAAAAAGTTACGTTTATGTATGTTTTATTCTGTGCGTAATATTTTTGGATTGTTGATGTCGAAGTTGTGTTGGTGTTCAAAATGGTGGGTAGCCAGTGCTGCAGGATTTTGTTTGGGTTTTTGCAATCTTAGATACGTAGTTTTACCCTCTTATCCAGATATTGGGATGTAATTCTGATGTAAGTTGCCGTATCATTGGCCCTGAAGATGATCGCAATAAGAATCGAAACGTTGGCACGATAAAGAAAATGTTTTTCTAAAACCTACGTCCACTCAAAACCGCATCTCACGATCTCTAAATATTCAATAATTAACGGTCACAAAATACTACACACTTCTAGATAAAACATTCAAGTAGAATACTAGCAGCAAGATTCTATAGGTATGCTTGTTTCGCTTTTATGGCCCTAACAAGCATGACTATAATAAATATAATGAATTCTTGACTTGTACTGCCCGAGAACGTGCTAATCCTTACACAAAAAATGTAGGTATGCAGTTACAAATATGTAATACAAAAAGTCTTCCTTTTTCAATACAGTGCCATATGTATTACGCAGGGCGGGTGACCGGACCCGAGGGGTTAAAAGCCTAGGTAGGCCCGTACCCCATCCCTAAAAGGTCCGGACCTGGTTGGCTCACGAGTCCTGCATAAACCTTTTGAACTTTCACAAACCCCAAGATTTTGGACCATTTTATCTTGGGGAGTGTTTTGGTTATGTCCTCTCCTTCGAAAGTTTCAAATCTTTCCCTAGCATACCTATCGCATTCTGCAAGGTAGTGTCGAGCCGTTTCTTCCTTTGTTTCACAGAAGCGGCAAAAGGGGTCTGGTAGAGCATCGATTATGAAGACGTGTTTTCTCAAGGGGCAATGGCTCGTTAGGATACCTATCAGCCTCCTAATTCCCCTCTAGAGTTAGAGAATAACCATTTCGTTTCTTTTGGTTTGATTTCCTTCACAAACTCCTTCGATTGCCTGTGTCCGGGGGACATATTCCATTCTTTAAGGAATTGTTTAATGCCCCAGCAACTAATACTCTCTTTCGCTGTGCTTATAGAGTGGGGTAATACCGGTTGTGGCCCGACAAACGCAGTATTTGATCCTTCTTTGGCCAGGCTGTCCGCCTCTTCATTGCCATAGTGCCCCTTATGAGCAGGTATCCATATGAGGGTTACCCTATTCTCGTACCTGGTAGTAATCCTATTAATAAGTTCAACGGTTTCCTCTCTAGCCTAGATGTTCGAATATACAGTGCCATACCTCGTCTTATATTAATGATATTAGTTCATATTATTTTTTGCCCTTTATCATACTATAGAATTTCACAGAATTTTCTATGACCTGTGAGTAGCTCCCTTGTCGGTACGATATTTGTTCCTCAGTACAACCCTCATTGATGATGATGATGATTATGATGATGATGAAGAGGAGGAGGAAGTTACTAGGAAGCAGGATTTCGAAATCCCCCAAGTACTGCTTATTATTCTTTTCCTGGTTTCTTAGATCAGTTCAATTGAGCCAAATCCTTCTTTTAAAAAGAAATAAGTTATTGGTTCTTATTGCTGCAATTCGTTTTCCCAGGCTTTCTTGTTTCCCTAGGTCATTTCTTCATTGGCAGTCTGTCTGTCTGTTTTTCTGTTTTTCTCTCTCTCCCTTTCCCAATACAGTGAGATAGCTCGTCTAATGTTAATGATATTAGTTCATGTTTTTTGCCCTTTATCATACTGTAGAATTTCACAGAATTTTCTATTAGCTCCCTTGATTGTGTGATATTTGTTCCTGAGTACAACCCTCCTTGATGATGATGATGATGATGATGATGATGATGAAGAGAAGGAGGAGGTTACTAGGAAGCAATATTTTTAAATCCCCCGAGCACTGCTTATTATTCTTTTCCTAGTTTATTTGTTCAGTTGAATTCAAATCCTTCTTTTACAAAGAAATAGGTCTTATTGCTGCAAAACTTTTTCCTAGGCTTTCTTATTTCCCTAGGTCATGTCTTCATTAGCAGTCTTTCTGTCTCTCTCTCTCTTTCTCTCTCTCTCTCTCCCTCTCAATCCCTCAAACGTCTAATTGTAATATCAATGGTTCATAAAATCATTTTATTTTAACATAACAACCTTAAAACACACCATGAAATAGACACTGCAATCGAAAAATTCACATTATCAATAACTGAATCAATCAGTGATTCAACAATTCACACACATCCACAAAACACATATTCTCAGCACATTAACGTACCGCTTTATATTCGCTACCTTATACGATCAAAAAGTCAAGCTCGTAAAGAATGGCAAAGAACACGTTACCCTTCAGATAAACGAAAACTGAATAAACTAACATATCAGCTGACTACGGAATTGCAAGCATATCGCTCCGACCGATTCGACGATTTACTGAATTACTAACAACAGAAAACAAATCTCTCTGGGCGGCAGCTAAAAATCTTCTATCTTACCACAAAATATCTACCCCGCTTCGCTAAGTCGACGGCAGTTGGGCCAAGTCAGATGAGGAAAAAGCGAATGCTTTTGCCTNCATCCCGACGAATCCCCTCAAACCCTCCCCGCCGACTGAAGAGACAATGGCCGCGAGATCTCCTAGGAAGTGATGGTGATGACAGTGAAAGTGATAATGACCCACGTATCAATTGAACAAACAATATTATTGTAACATTGGAGTAATACCAATGGGTGTTTTCTCCACTCTTGGTTTTAATTTGTTTTGTTTTAATTTTACCTTGCTCACTGTTACTTATCACTTTACTTTAGTTGTACTACAAATTATATTTAAAAGAAATTAACATATGATAATAACGTATTTACTAAATAGTGTAAAACCTGTTCTTATTCGTTGAATTGTTATTCAACTCTGTACAAAATCATTCTTATAATTCAGAAAATAAATTTTTACCTGTCGTGCCTTTGATGAAGTAGATTTTTGTGTAGAAATTAATTTAGTCCAATATTTTCTTTTATCCACTATTTTCGGGTAGTTCATTGTTATTATGAACAACCACAGATTTGATGGAAAGGTTCTTCCGCATTATTGTCGATGTATTAATCAATCAGCGTGTGTTTGTTGAGTAAAGCCGAGGGTGGTCTTCAGTAATACTCTTTACACTTTTACTTTTTGTTATTACAATGAAACCCTGTGCATGGACACATTGTGTGACTCGATAAATTATTTCTTCGTATTTTAATTATAATTTGACGTTACACGCTAGGGGCGGTTTCACCCTTTTTACGGCACTTCTTATAAGAGGTCGGTCGTTAATCACAAACTGTCATCGTACAAGCCATCGGTGTGGAAACGACAGCCGAAATACCCCTGAGAAAATTGGATAAAAATCACCGAATAATTGATAAATTTATTGGTAAATCATATGTAGTAACTCACACACGCCGTTCCATCAAAATCTACTGTAAAATAAAATGAGAAAAATTACAAAACTCATTATCCGGACATTGTACGCGCTCTTGAAAAACGGCGGTCAAAACAGGCCGGTCAAACTTAGTACTATTCTGAAATATGTGCAGAAGAAAAGTCCTCAGGTGAAAAAAGCGGAAGTTGTAAAAGCGTTGAAAACCGGAAATAACCTGGGATTGTTTTACTTGTAAGTTCAATTTTTCAAATGGCGTGCACTGCTGCTTAATGTACTAAATGTGGACTTAAATGTCTCGCTTCACTAGTCGCCTAGCGTAATTAAAAGTTTCTAATCTTGAATGTGAACTCGAATTGTTTTATATACATATTTTACAAAAAATAATTTTTGGTAAAAAAAAAGTAATTCCTGTCATAAAGGAGGATTTTAACGTCCAACTACCCGATTGGGGTCGCGGACGAAGGGTCAACACACTTTACAATACATTTTTCATATCATTATCAATTAAAAAGTCATGGGATTTGCCGGGATTCGAACCCAGAACCGCTAGCAAGGTGAAAACGATTCGGTCACCATATCTCGGTCCCCAAAATGGTTTTGACATGCTCGGCGACATTGAATTGGAAATCGTTGGCGGATAAGACAAATTGCCGGGGGGAAACGGTGAATTTATTCCACGGAAGGTAATTATAAATAACACGCCAGAGCACAATTAAAAGCTTCGACGAACAAAAATTAGCAAACTTCGGCCCTTCCATTTTAAGGGGCACTTTCTAAATTATTGTCACATTCATAAGAAGATTGCCGAGTATCGATTTTAAAAGTTGAAACGTTACGAACATGCTTTCATTCATAAGTCTTACCTACCGGTAAATAACCTTAGAAAAATTACTCACAGTTAATATCTGTTTTCAGAAGCCCTAAAGGTGATTCGGTCGTCCCAGCGGAAATATTCCAGAGCCTTTCCTGCTCCAACAAGGGACGGTTTATTATGTCGGCCTGCTGGCGTCCGATCCTCTGGAGGCAAAACAAGAAGGCGTACTGCAAGGGCTGCGGATTGTCATCCTGTAAGTGCTGCTCCTGCTGTAGCTGCCACCTGCACTGTCCTTTCTGCCCCGGAGCGAGTGAGAAACGCGACGAAATCATGCGTACTGACAATTCATGGTTTAGTAAGATCAAGAGAGTATTGGGCAAATATACTAAATGAGTTAAACATACGAGCCTGCGTTTTAAAATTAGTATCAGGTCGGACTTTAAAAAGGAAGTTTGAATTTCAATTTTAAAGACTTTAACTTCGCAATTCTCTTCCACTCTACTTATAAACTATTTTACTCTTTTATGAATGTTGATTTGAGTTCTACAAAATCAGAGTTCTTGGAAAAAGTGCCATAACTCGTCTTAACTTATATTTCTGCATATTTTTGTGATGCCCTTTATCATATTGTAGAATATCACTGAATTGTCAATGACCTGTGAGTAGCTTCTTTGTAGAGATGAGCATCGATGGTCGATGTTTAAAAAAAATCGATGGTAGGCGACCGATGTTCGATGTTTTCAATATCGATGTTACTGTATCGATGTTTTTTGACCATCGATGGTGGGCTGTCGATGTTTTATAAACTTTTTCAGTTTTATTCAGAATCGTGAGATGCGGTCTGGTGTGATGTAGGTTTCAGAAAAACGTTTTCTTTATCGGGCCAACGTTTCGATCTTGTGCTATTCTTGCGTGTCGTGTTGAGAGGGCACAGAGGGCAAATTACGCAGAAAACAAACATTTTGAGCCCTGAAGATGATCTCACTAAAGATCATCAGAAAACACGTTGGCACGATAAAGAAAATGTTTTTCTGAAACCTCTTAATAATCATCGCCAAACGGTCACTAATCACCACACATTTTTCAGTTTTCCTAATTTCTACTTTTGTTAATAGGGAATGATCCATATTCTTCTGATATGAAAGTGACCCATCAGATCCTGTCAGGAGTTTTTCAATTTGTTGCCTTAGTGGCACATCTGTTCCCTCTGAACAATTATTTTCCAAAGCTGGACAGTTTATTTGGAAAACCAGAAATCGCTTAGAGGATAAATCTNTGGAAAAAGTGCCATAACTCGTCTTAACTTATATTTCTGCATATTTTTGTGATGCCCTTTATCATATTGTAGAATATCACTGAATTGTCAATGACTTGTGAGTTGCTTCTTTGTAGGGATGAGCGTCGATGGTCGATGTTTAGAAAACATCGATAGTAGGTGACCGATGTTCGATGTTTTCAATATCGATGTTACTGTATCGATGTTTTTTGACCATCGATGGCGGTATGTCGATGTTTTATAAACTTTTTCAGTTTTATTCAGAAATCGTGAGATGCGGTCTGGTGTGATGTAGGATTCAGAAAAACGTTTTCTTTATCTTGCCAACGTTTCGATCTTTATTGAGATCATCTTCAGGTAAAGTGACCACACGTCCCGATTTTGGCGGGATAGTCCCGCTTTTTGGTAGACTGTCCCGCGTCCCGCCGATTTTTAAAAATGTCCCGCTTTTTAGAAAATATCTGCATTTCTTATTTTAAATGTACTGTAAAAATATATTACCTATTATTTATTAAGTATTATGGTGAATATAAAGAAATAAAAAATACATTAAAAAACACTTAAAATGCATGCAGAGTAAACTAAATTAGGCAATGTACCGAGTTAGATTTACTCGGTGGTGTTCCATCATTGTCGTTACGTCTCGGCTTAATTCAGATAAGTGCGGACTGCCGTTAGACAGTGCTGTGAAAATTATTGAAGGGGACAAAATTTCAATTACGGAAGTGTCAAATGAAATCAATAATTTAAAATCAAAATTACGAGAAAGAATTGATAACGATTACATTCCTTTAATTATTCGAAAAGACATCAATAGGTTGGAAGAACAAGGTGCCATTAAACGACCTGATTTTCTGAAACATGTCAAAAAATTTTATAATAACTGCTTGGAATATCTTGAAGAATGGACATTTAAATTCGAAGATATTAAAAATTTTCATTGAGTGACATTAAAAAAGGAGATTTTAAGGGAATATGTGGAAAAATCTTTTGAATATATTAGTAACCATTTTCCGAAAAATAATATTTGCGAAAATGATCTTTTTGATGAGGTGTCATTGGTAAAAAGATATGTTACAGATGAAAAAATTAAATGTTGGTTGTATGCAAATGTGGAAACAGACAAAAAAGGGATGGAGTTATTCCTTCAATTTAAACAGCATAATATTCCTTATCAAAATATTTTGAAAATTGTAGAATTTGCGCTCTCCCTTCCAGGAACAAATGCAGCAACAGAACGTGTTTTTTCTAGTATCAATAAAATATGGACAACTGAAAAAACGCAGTTGAACATTAAAACTTTAAAATCTGTATTAAGTGTAAAATATAATTTGACCAATTCATGTGAAATATTTCACGACATTTTAATAAATGATCCCTCGGATCAAAAATATGACCGTGAAAGAAAATCATAATTTTTTTAAATAAAAAATTTAATTTGATTAAAAATCATGATGTTCAAATTATTATTTTTTACAAATATTTTTATAGTTACCAATAATTAATAATAAATACATTTTTGTACAAGTATATGAATGTATACAATAACATATATAAAACTAAATTGTAATTCTCATTTCATCCCATTTGTCCCGCTTTGTCTCAATGAAAATGTGGTCACTTTATCTTCAGGGCTCAAAGTGTTTATTTTCTGCGTAATTGTGCCATTCTTGCGTATGGTGTTGAGAGTGCCCAGAGGACAAATTACACAGAAAACAAACACTTTGAGCCCTGAAGATGATCTCAATAAAGATCGAAACGTTAGCACGACAAAGAAAATGTTTTTCTGAAACCTCTTAATAATCATCGACAAACGGTCACTAATCACCACACATTTTTCAGTTTTCCTTATTTCCACTTTTGTGAATAGGGAATGATCCATATTCTTCTGATATGAAAGTGACCTATCACACCTGTCAGGAGTTGTTCAATTTGTTGCCTTAGTGGCACATCTGTTCCCTCTGAACAATTATTTTCCAAAGCTGGACAGTTTATTTGGAAAACCAGAAATCGCTTAGAGGATAAATCTACGTTTTTTAAATTGCGTTCCGGAGAAGATGTCGGAGTGTTTCATTGCAAAATTTGGATACATTAATTCTAATAAATTACGGATATGGCTGATTTTAGCTACGTACGTGTTAAACCTTTCAGCAAGAGACAGGAATTGGGTGGGTTATGGATATTTTCTAAAGTATTGAAGAAAAACAGCGAGGTATTTTGAATCAAATTCACAGGCACACAATACTTTAACAATAAACAAACCCCAACAAAAGGTGGGGTTGAGATGGGAAGTTAGTGTCCGAGTGGATCGAAGTCACGATAGCTCAATTGGTAGAGTAGCGGCGTATCAAGCCGAAGGTCGTGGGTTCGAATCCCGCTCGTGACACTGACTTTTTTCAACTAAAAACCTTAATTAATTGAAAGATATTAATTGGTCAAGGGGACCACGAAAACTAGTGAATTTAACAATAGACGTCTTTTATTTAAAAGGGACCGAGAGATCAATGTACAACTATAAATGAAACCAAAGGCAATAATAATTCCTAATAAATGATATTAAAAAAATAAAATAATTTATTAAGTTCCTAATAAAAGTTCTGAAATGGCGAAATTTCAAAAATTACCTTATGTTTCTAAAGTGGCACATAAAAAAATGTATGCTTATGAAAATAATTTGTGGTTTGAGTAATGAATACTCAAAAAACCATCGATGTGTAGAGCGTGGATTCGATGGTAGTACCATCATCGGTGGTGAGGTTCCGATTTTTTTTTACCGACGCTACTTTTTGTTGGTGAGATATTTCTTCCTGAATCCTGAGTACAACCGTCCTTGATGAGGAGGAGGTTACTAGGAAGCTCTGTTTTGGTTTATTAGTCTTTTCCTAGTTTCCACCCACGGGGGATCTCTAGGATCCGATCACCATGCATCACGACTGGGTATACAAGCTGCATTAGATTATTTAAATAGAATACGATTGTCAATTTAGCAGATGAATTTTCACACGAGGTTTACTTGACCTAAAATAACACGATCCTCCATAATTTCCGCGAAACTGCGTCCTGCTACCTTTCACGGTGTCAAAACCGTATAAGACTCAACTCGACCAAATGTCAAATAATCTATAATAAACATATAGAAATGAGTTGGAGCCAGTGGGAAGTTGTCGAGCTTAGACAGGTGCTGGGCTATTGCAATACTGGGTAATGTCATTATGTGTTTTCCGTGTAGTCGTTACGGTGCCGGAGCCATTACAGAGAGCGAGATTTATGAGAAAACCAATGATTTTCCCGTTCCTTTTATTGTTACCGTAACAAATAGGTTATTAGGGACGGTTATGGAATCATGAAAAATGTTCTTGTAACCACGGGATTTACCGCTTTACTTCAATTCCCGAAAGTAATTTCACCGTAATTCGATCATTTCCTCAATTAGAGAAGTTAACCTCTTTTTTCTTTTTTCTAGTCGGTTAGGAAACGTTGATATCGTGAAAAATTAAAAAAGTTAAGCCTGTTGGGAAGACGTTTAATTAGCTATTAATACATTGGTATAATCCACTCTTTCATCCTTTAAAAATTTCGAAATGTAATATTACACGAGATGAAAACTGTTTCCTGAGATGGCAGAAAGTCTGCCTGTTCTGGCTAGAACGTCTCGCTTTGTTGGGTTTGACTAGGTACTTTTCATCAAAGTTTTATTAACTGTTGCTTAAAACAGCAAAATCTCACTGGCACTCTCAACACGACACACAAGAATGGCACAATTACACAGAAGACAAACACTTTGAGTGAGTAGAAATACTTTGATTGAATATAAAAATAAAAAAATATATTTTGCATTGTATAAATTCACTTTTCCACATCCTAAATGTATTTGTTAAATGTAAACAATGTTTGTAAATCCCAGGCCCTGAAGATGATCTCAATAAAGATCGAAACGTTGGCACGATAAAGAAAATGTTTTTCTGAAACCTACATCACACCAGACCGCATCTCACGATTTCTGAATAATTAGCAATAAATAAGGGCGACCTTGGGGTCTGCGTGGTGAAGGACCAGTTTGATATTTTAGGAGCATTTTGGCCTACAATGAACCAGAAATGAAGATGTCGAACAGCCGACAGACCAAA